CAACACACGCAGCGCCACAGCTCTGTAGGACAGGCATCACAATAAAGAACGGCATTACCGACAAAATAAGCGAAGGGCATCATCAATATGCACGGACTCAACCCCACTGGAAGCGCTGGTCACATGAACCTTGCCACTGAGTCAGAAGTTAGAAATATTGCAGTGTTGTCTGCATTTCAGCAGCGACTGAAAAGCAACAATAACTAAGGACTCTGGAAGGATCATGCAGTCAAGAGTGCCGGCTGCACTAGATGTATTTTCAACTCCAGCTTTACCTCGTCCATGGCTAACAATCTAGGTGTATGGTTTAGGGTTTAAGTTCTAGTAGAGCACCGCTCCCAAGAACAGCCTCAACTGGGTGGGCTCAGCTTCAGAAAGCTACTGCTGACACGCGCGAACCTCGTCAGGACAAGCGACGGCTGCAAAGCAGAGTTGAAGCTAAGATATACCACAAGCGGAGTGCCATTTTAAGCCTTCAAAGCCCGTCGTATGCTCTCAAAGGTCCCTTGGTCCTTCGGGAATGGCGGGTCAATCACAAGCCAAAAAAGGAAACTCAGCGCTTTCACGAGTTCACCTGCCGGCGAACGCAGGGAACAGTCGCGAAGTGCAAAGGCTAAGCCCTAAACCCCGGCCGATGGGTGCTCGAAGCAATGCTTTGCTGCTACTACGACGACTACTACTACTACTACTACTACCACTACTACTACCACTACCACTACCACTACTACTACTACTACTACTACTACTACTACTACTACTACTGTTGCTGCTCATAATTCCCCTCCTGCTGCTGCTGCTACGAAGACGAACACTACCATTACTACTACGACGACGACTCCTACTACCACTACTACCGCTATCACTATCACGGCAACTACCACTACCACTACCTTAGCTACTACGACGACGACGACGACGACGACTACTACTACTACTACTACTACCACTACCACCCCTATCACTATCACGGCAGCTACCACTACTACTTCTACTACCTCTACTACTACTACTACTACTACTACTACTACTACTGCTACTACCACCACGACGACGACGACGACTATAGTATGCTACTACTACTGCTACTACTACTACTACGACGACTACTGCTACGACTTGACTACGGCATTGTTAACACTACTACCCTTAACACTTTCCCGAGTCCAAACCCATCTGCGAGCCCACAGTCAGATGTGACTAGGACAGCGATTGTGACGGTCGTTGCACTCTCTGATGCTGCTGGACCTTCGCCCGAGCCTAGTAGCAGTGAGACTGTGCTGACAATTGAGCACTATGAGGATTCGCCTTACCGAAATTCTAGAACTTGATGTGCTTGAGAATGATGCTGACTGCTTCTATCTGCAGAAACTGCTTGTTCTGCTTGTTCCCCCTAAGCCCCAAACCCCAGCATCCTCAAACTCGGCCTGGGCATAGAGTCGCAGGATGTTCCTGCAGCAGAGAGTGGGCCAGCTTGGGGGTTTGAGGCTTCTTGTGGCCAGCTTTGGGGCTTCTCAGGCTTTCCACTTCGGGGCTGCAGTGTTTGTGGGGGTCCCCTTAGGCCCTGAACTCTAAGCCTTAACCCTAAACCCTAAACCCTAAACCCTAAACCCTAAACCCTAAACCCCAAGCTCTCTAAGCGCCCTTTTCTGGGGATCCTCGAGCCCTGACCTTCAAGGAGGCTTTGGGGAAAAGCGACCCAAGTACTCACTGTGGGCTCAAGGTGGCTAAAGTGAAAGTTTTTTCGGCAGCACAAAAGAATTATTACTATTATTACTATTATTACCATTATTACTATTATTATTATTACTATATCATTATTACGACGCACTGATTTGTGCGTCGTGGCCATGATTTCAAAACGCCTCGAACCTTCAAGGAGAGGTGCCAGAGTTTGACGCTGCTGAAACTTTATCCTCGTGAGCCAGGAGCTCAATTAACAAAAAGATGTCAGAGCTCTGAGAAATACAAGGTACACAAGCAACATAATATAGACATAAAAGGAAAAAGCAACATAATATCGCAACAAACACTACTGTCGACCCCTGCTTAGCTTCAACCGAGCCGCATGCACGTCACAAACGTCTCGCAGCTCGCTTCGTCAGCCTAGCCAGTGCACTGAGGGTGTGGTGAAGATAGGACAGCCCGTCTCAAGCTCAACCGCACGCTCTTTGCAAGCGACGTCGCGCAAAAAAGTCTCGGTATTCGGCACTGCGAGTTTAAATTTCGCACTCCCAACAGCAAGTGCTGGCCAAGTTTTTTGGTGAGTAAGCACAAAGCGAGTTCACGTCTATGATGAGAAACAGGGTGCTCTGGTTTGGGACATCGTCGGCCTCTAGAATTGAGGGCCAGAGGCCTCGAAATTGCTGCAAGTACCTGACATCTGAAACCCCAAAGAGAAACAGGCAGCGAGGGTTTTGCAGACCCTGTGCCATCGCCCGGAGATGCCTCTGAGATGGCGACTTCCTGGCTGGGCTTAAGGTCTGGGCTGAAATCCTGGAGCTTTTCCAGCGGGGTTTACACAGTTTCGGACAGACGGAAGCGGCTTCTGCAGAGGGGGTGCGCGAGTGGGCGAGAGAAGCGCTGCACTCCGAAGGGAAAGATCGTAGGTATGTGCAGTGTGCAAAATCTCCTGTGCAACCGTGCCCCACCAAGCTTTGGAATGCACAGCAAATAAAGCGTGGTTTGCTTGGTTGCTCTCAGAAGCCCAGCCAGAACCTATGTAGTAATGAAGCGACACTCGTGCAAACTGAACAGCGGCTGGGCGTCCTTGGCTGGACCTTCAACGCCACGCAATCCAACACAACTCTCAATGGAGAAGATAGCCCAAACCCTATATACCCTAAACCCTAAACCCTAGACCCTGAACCCCAAACCCTATAGACCCTAAACCCTAAACCCTGAACCCTAGACCCCGAACCCCAAAGCCTACAGACCCTAAACACTACCACAAACGGCCTGACCTCCGATTCAGATTTGGGAGTTTCCGAAGACAAGGGGTACCTTATTTTGGGGTCCTTATAATGAGGCACCTACTATTTAGGGTACTACATTAGGAAGGGGTACCTTATTTTGGGGTCCTTATAATAGGGATCCTATTATTTGGGGTACTATATTAGGGTCCCTTATTTTCGGAAATTTT